TTCTTGTATACATGTGTACACACACACTCTCACTCACACATACACATACTTACACATACACACATATATATGTAAATACAAAAGAGTTCATTTGGATTGATTTTAGAATTTCTAAATCATCATTGTAGAGCCTTGGACATATATACGCATTAGCCCAAGTCATCGTATTATATAGTCCCGATAATATGAAATTAACAAGATAAATGAGTAGTGAAGGCATCCAAATAATGTAGTTATCACAACGAAAGACAAAAAAGCGAAAATATGATTCGAAAAGATAGGATGAAAACAGATGATGTACGAATAATTGGACGGAAGATCATATGAAAAATAAATAGTGAATGTATCTGTCCATTTGTAACTACATCTGAGACCTCTCACTCAATGTCTCTAACCTCTGATCACAATAATCACGTGAGCTTTAACTGGATAGTTTTCACCTAGTGACATGGCTGAGAACAATGGTCAACAATCTCACAGACTGATCCCATGTTTTGGTTTGATCTCTCCTAGTTTTCTCCTAACTTATTATTATACTAGCTAACACTGTCTATCAAGGTAGGTGATGGTTGGGGATGCATAACACAATTTATAACCACCTCAGTCAATGAAGATTTACAACCTTACTGACAGATTTTTCATCTTCATCTAGTACTCTATTTCTAACCTCACTATTGCTCACTCCGTTATTTCACGATTAGTTAGCGAAAACCTACACCGTATGTATATTTTCTGCTTTCATGGATCATGTTTCAAAGCTATAGTCATAATAAGATGAAATGTTGAAATCCAAACGAAATGTTACCGGAAAGGCAATGAAAACAGAAAAATAAAACAAGTATCAACAAATTCCACCTTTAGAAAAGGTACACAGATGACACTTTTATTTGTGATAATAAATGTGACTTGAGTAACAATCTAAAGACCTTCAATAGCTGTCGCCCAACGAAAAAACGTACGGTTTGATAATGACAACTAAACATTTACTTTATGGATGCTAAAATGACAGAGATTCCACATTCGGTCCTGGGTTTGGGACCCGAGCTCGGAATCGTAGATGCGCACTGTTGAAGAGTCCCTTATTGGGACGAAAAGGCCATCCAGTGCCTCCAGGTTTTCAATTTTGGTCTCAATTCAAATTCAACAATCTTTACAACCCTGTAATTTAAGATTTATTTACAAAAAAACCTACATGGATTGATCAACTAACAAAAAAGCCTCTGAAGTTCAGTCACCATCAATAGTAAGATGAATTTAATCATATGTTTGATTACATGAATTCAATGAATTTTCAGTTCAAATGTTATAGACGAAAGAGTGTCAGTATATAAACCATATCTATTTAAAATATAAATATTGTAGAAGCCGGTTGCAACTTCTGACTTAATGCAAGGGATAAAGAAGAGATTGCGAATAAATGAAGCTTAGTTGTCGGCTCAGTGCTATTGGTCAGGTGTGTGATTGGTCGATTTGTGGAGACTTGACAGTCTAGGCAATAGTGGACGCTAAATAGACCTAATTAGAATTAGGATTCCGACTGGTGATTGGACATATGAAATTAGCCAGTGGTCTCAACACATAAAAATTTTATACTCTGATAGAATTTTATTTATTTGTTTATTTGAACACATAAATATTGGTACAATGGGGCACCGAATACATATGCGTCATACATAACACTTGATTTGTGTGTAGGCTGTGGTACTGCTTGGGTGCCCGAACCGAAGCAAGACTCTGATAAATACATTTATGTGACTGTCTTATTATTCCAATGTTAATTTTCCAGTCTAAATCGGTTAAACTCTATTGAAATATAGGATTGTGATGAGAATATGAAGTATTTCTTCAAGATTAAAATGTTGGTTTCATAAGAAAATGATTATTAAGATTATAACAGATGTTAAATTGATTTCATTGAATAAGTTTCTGTTGAATATCACCTTTACTTGTACTCATAAGTGAATTCGACTGTGAATGAAATGACTCTTGTATATAAATATAGCTTTCATTTATTTATGTATTAGGAATGAAAATATTTACTAATTCTGACTAAGATTAGTTATCTTAATCCCTATTCTTGGAAAAAGAAAATATTAAGATTTATTTAATAAGTTTAGATACATAGTACTCTACAAATATGAGCTGATGGTTGATGTCTTTGAGTCAGTCAGTTACAATGTAGGACCAGGAACATATATGCATCTGTCCAAGTTGCCACACTTCTTTAGCACAGCAAGATGAACACCAAATTCATAGGAGTTACTTCAATGATGGTAATGTATAAAAGAAAGATTGTATATAAAGATATAATACAGAAAGAAAGAATTAGTTTGTTGAAAGAAAGGTATAAAGCACTTTGAATCTCATAGTTTAGGGGAAGACAAAGAGTGTATACACCGACGCCATTATGATCGATTCTGAGCAATGTCACCCAGAGTCTCAAACCATTGGTTACGACAATCACACAGACCCCAACCAAGTAGTCTGCATCTACCAACATGGCTTAGATCGGAAGTTGGTGACTTCAAACACTGATGCCACGTTTTGGTTTGGTCGCCCCTAACTTTCTTCCAATCATCCCCAACACTAGTCAACATTGTGCGTCATGGTAAACGGTGTTCAGGCATACGTAACACATGGCCCAACCATCTTAGTCGATGAAGATTTACAACCTCATCGACTGATTTACCATCATTCCCCAATAACATGCGTCTGATCTCACTATTTTTCACCCGGTGATCCCAGGAGATGCCAGCAATATTTCTAAGACATCTGTAGTCAAATACTAGTAACTTATAAGTATCTTCTACGTTTCGCAGCCGTAAATTAGGACAGGGCGAACTGCTGCACATTATACTTGTCTTTTAATTAATAATCGGATATCTCACCTTTGCCATAGGTGACGTAATTTGGCAAAAACCAAACGAGCTCTATGAATCCGCATTGCTTAGAATTGCTAGACACTGAAGAAACACAGTTGTCCACTAACTCTCGACTTTTATTGGTTGTCTAACGAAGGTTATCTTGTGGTGAATTCATTTTATTGATTAATTCTACGTAGAATCTGGAAAATGTTTCACATTTGAAAATAAATTGATTGAAGTAATTTACGATTTAGTCAGTCGGCTACAATGTAGGACCAGGCACATATATGCATTGGTCCAAGTTGCCTTATCGCATTAGCACAGCAAGATGAACACCGGATTTGTGTCAAAAGATGTATTCCGTTAGGGAATCAGTGTAACCCAAAAAAGTAATAGACAATTGTTTCATTCTAGTAGAATTATCCTCAGTAGTGCACATCTACGACCCGTCTAGAAACCGAACCTAGAATCTTCTGAACCAGAATTGAACAGTTAACTACCAGACTAATGATTTGGCGATATTGCGCAATCATCTTCCGATCTAGTCGGTAAGTAATGTATGTCTTATACATAATATGGTTAGAAATATTTACTCAATGGTTCAAAGATTAATCGCTGGCTGCTAGGTTTGATTCTAAGAATGATTGTGAATGTGCGCATTGCTTAGAATTGCTAGACACTGAAGAAACACAGTTGTCCACTAACTCTCGACTTTTATTGGTTGTCTAACGAAGGTTATCTTGTGGTGAAAACTGTAGAATTCAACAATCTCCACAAACTTCCTATGCTAATATAGTAATAATAACTCAAATATTATGATGTATCACTCACACCAATATATTCATTACGATTAGAATGATATTTCAATGACATCAGTGTAAGGGCAATTCTGGATAGCTATTATGAACACATTGGGAGAATATGTATTGACTAAACATACATATCTCTATATATTTGTTAAACAACAAATTTAATGGACCGTATTAATTGTCTCAGTGGCCAGAATATACAATAGCAAATAATTTAATAAAATCAAAGACCCATTTTTTCTCCATTTAGTGACGAACACATTATCATAAATTACCCAAATATAATTTCGAAAACATCCTCAATTACACAGGAAAATTTATTATGAAAATCATGTTAAGTGACTATTAAATCTCAATAATTGAGTTCATGAATCAGTTGAAGCTAAACCACTATAGAAAACCTAGAAGCATTGGACGACCGTTTCGACATAGTATGGAACTCCTCAGCAGTGCTCATCCAAGATCCCGCCTGTCTTACGCGAGATTCGAACCCAGGACCTATCAGTCTCGCGTGCGAGCGCCTAACCACTAAACCACTGACGATTTCCATACTAGGACGAAAACGGCCGTCCAGTGCTTCCAGGTTTCAACTATTGAAATCACTAAAATCTCTACAAAATCCCTTCTGATAATAAACAAATCTGTTTATAATATTTCAATAATAAGACAAAAATGGTATTGATCAATATAATTTCTAAGAGAACTTCACGTTCTAGAAACTTTCACATACCAAAAAACGATTTGAGAGTAACTAATTAATGTTATTTCTTTAAATGCGGTTTATTAATAATTAGTTATAAGTTTAAATTTTGTATTATCTGAGTTTGTTTAAAATATCAATGGTTAAGATCATGAGTCAGTTGAAGCTAGACCACCATGGAAAACCTGGAAGCACTGGACGGCCGTTTCGTCCTAGTAGGGGAATCGTCAGTGGTTTAGTGGTTAAGCTCTCGCGCGCAAGACTGATAGGTCCTGGGTTCGAATTTCGCGGGGGTTGGGGATCGTGGATTTGCACTGCTGAGGAATCCCACAATAGGACGAAACGGCCGTCCAGTGCTCCTAGGTTTTCCATAGTGGTTTAGCTTCAATTGATTCATGATCTTAACCGTTGAAATTACTATAATATACAGAAAAACTCATTTGTTTAAAATAGACAACAGAAAGGAATCATATATTGATTTTAAGTGCAACCTCAAAATCTCCAACAATTAAATAGGTGTCCAAGAAAAAAAAAGAATAAAGAATGTTTAACCAAAAGAAACATGAACATTGATAAATAATTTTAGAGAAAATTTTTTTTATTTTTTATTTTGTTTTATAGACTTACCTACGTATCAGTAGGTAGGGAAACCAGTGTACAGGTTTATGACTGTAAAAATCCAAAACTTCTAAACGATCTGTTGTTAAACGTAAATAACAATCTGGTTGACATAAATGTAATTTCATCCAATCACCAGCTTCTTCAAGAAGTGCAGGAATTTTATCCTCTATAAAAAAAATCAATAGTGGAAGAGTGAAAAAATCAGTGAGTATAGAAGTTGAAAGTGTGCTGGAAAAAAAAAAGAAAAATAGATGTAGTTTTATTGACTTTTTTTGTTGTTGAAACTTTCAATTAAACAGTAAAGACAATACTACAAATGAGTAAGTCAACCGCTAAAATGAAAGTTGCCAAACATTTACCTTAGTAGTAGTTATAACATTTCTCACTTTACACTTTTGTAGAACTATTGAGACTCTTCAAAAACACTAATAGTTTAAAAGATAATACACCATTAAAAATCAAAGAATACTTAGCGGCTATTTCGACACAGTTCAGGACTTCGCAATAATGATTATCTACGGTCTCAGTAAAAAAAACCGTGGCTTTAATATCTACGTGCATTGTAAAATTCCCTCATTCACCCAAAGTTCTGTGGTTAACACTTTTTTAACTATCGTTATATTAGAAACTTAGATTGGTATACATTGAATATTATTGGTTAACATCCGTCTTACTACCAAACTGGTTAATCTAATATAGTTATTTGAAGGGATTTTGTGGGGGTTAGTCATATTTGCAAACTGTATTTGCAACTGTTTGGAGTACCAATTGATCCAGAGAACACTGGACAGCTGTTTCATTCTAGTATTAGACTATTCATCAGTATGTGCCAACGACATGAACAGGGATTGAACTCAGGACCTTCGGATTTTAAACGGAACGACTGACCCGTAGAATCACTAGGTCGTGGGTGATGAAGTTCAACAATTTCAGGAATAAGACAGTTTTCACAAAATGATCAAATTCAAAATTGTACCAGTTTATGCCAACTCAGTGAACCTAGATGTTAACCATCCATTGCGAGAACTGAAGGTCCTTGGTTCGATCTCCGTCTGAGGTCGAAGTTCACACTACAGAGAATTCTCATACTAGATACCAAAGCACGCAGCGATAAACCATGCATCCCAGAATGTGCTTTGAACCAAAATACAATTTCGTCCCCGTTTCATTGAATAAGTAGAGAACATAGAAACATATTCAGACGTCCCACTATCGTGGTATTTCTCGACCTTAAGGCGGCATTTGACTATGTTGATCGTGAGGTTCTGTGGCAGTGTTTGTCACTGAAAGAAGTACCAAAGAAGTACATTAACTTTATAAAGGCTCTCTACTCGAACACACATGGTCAAGTGAGAGCTTATGGCGAACTGACATTAGAATTGATTACCTCAAGTGGTGTTCGTCAGGGCTGCTCGTTCCGTCCTACTTTATGGCAGTCAAACATGGCCGGTAAGAGTAGACGATATTCGTAGGTTACTAGCATTCGATCATAGGTGTCTTCGAAACATTGCTCGTATATCATGGTACCATCGAGTAAGTAACGCAGTTGTTCGGAAATGGGTACTACGTAAGAATGACAAATCAGTTGATGAAGTAGTGAAACTTCATCAATTGAGATGGCTGGGACACGTGTTACGTATGCACAACAACGAACCACCCCGACCTGCAATGTTTTATGGTGTAGGAGTAGGATGGAAAAAGCTAGGTGAGGCCAGAGCAAAACATGGCACAAATCCATCAAGTCACAGACAAGTGGACTAAGCCATTTTGGTAAGTGTAGACTACCTGGTTGGGGTCCACGAGATGATAGCAACCGATGGTTAGAGACCTTGAATCACATGGCTCAAAATCATCTGCAATGGCGCAGGTGCGTCCACTCTTTGTGTTCTCCCAAATTCTAATCTTCTGAATTCTTCATGTCCCTGTATTCTCTTTCACTGGATTATACTCTTTGAATAACATCTTCAAACCCTAATCTTTCCGATTACTGCTTATACTTTTACTACCTTTACCACTACGGGATTTGGATTGACAATTATTTCTTTGTACTAACAAGGTATGGCAACTCGAACTGATGTACGTACGTACAAAGTTCTATGTTGTTACCGACTGACTGTTTAAAAATGATAACTTTTTATTATGTATTTTGAAATTTCTACATTCTCATAATGGCTAACAAAAAACTCGAACTTCTACGTTGTCGTTTCCTCAATCCATTTTTTAGAACGTATATCTATTGCTCAACTTAAACTTAATTTGATTTATTAATTATGTCTATGATCTACTTGCACTTACGCGATCCAAAAATTGCTTACAACCTAAAATAAACCTAAGTAATGACAAAGTCTATAAGTCTCATCGCAGTAGTATGGAAAATTTCTTTCTCTGTCGTCTGGAGAAATGAAAGGAGATTGATACGGTATTTGTGTATCAGAAATATTCAGCGATGAAAAAATATTTTATACTAAAGAAAATTGATCGTAAACAATTACATATGAGTATGAATAGCAGCTAATCTCCGTTTAAAAACTTTACAGATACGTGTTTTTCGAATACTCACATGATAAATGTATGTAATTATCAGTATAGGGTTGTGGAGATTATTAAGTTATTGGTTGAGATCTTGAACCGATTGATGTTAGAACACCGTTGAAAGCCTGGAAGCACTGGACGGTCGTTTCGTCTATTACGGGCCTCTTCAGCAGTGCGCATCCACGATCCCGCTCACGGGATTAGAACCCACGGCCTTCAGGCTCGCGCTTGAACGCTTGACCTACTTGGCTTCTGAGTCGGCATCTAACGGTGGTAATGTTTAGCCTCAATCAATCCACGAAATTGCGTGATGCCAGCTCAGAGGTCAACTAGGTTAAGCGTTTGTGCGCGAGACTGAAGGCCTTGGGTTCGAATCCCACGAGCGGGATCGTGGATGCGCACTGCTGAAGAGTCCCAAAACAGAGCAAAACGGTCATCCAGTGCTTCCAGGTTTTCAATGGTGGTCTAACATCAATCAGTTCAAGATCTCAATCAATCAATGTATATAAAACGGGAAGTTTGTAGCAATTTTGCATGTTTTGTACTGAGAAATTTTTAATTCAATTGAACATGTGGTATGGAATAATTATTATTAACAAAAATCAATATCACAACTGCATTTAGGAGTGACTACTCAAGGTCGAAATACCATTACAAATGATTTACTCGGTGTTCCACAACGTCACTCCCAGATAGAACAAGGCACACTTTGACTCAAAACATGATAATCGTAAAAATTTTTCTCAATAGTATACATTTTGTTACAATTGGGAATTCGAGGTGTCGAATGTGTAATATTGCAGTCAATTTCTCGTTAACATACAATTGAATTAGAATTATACACAAATAATATTTTCAAAATGATTTTTTAACACTCAGTTTCTGTTTGTTATTTCTAATGGCGAAAGTATACCATTAGTTTGGGTATCATGATTATTTTTTCATTTCTTTAGATATTGGATCTGTAAATTCCAATATATTCATCTCACTTCGTTCTAAGTGGTATATAGGGAAAAAAACATGCCAATAGGCGCTCGGTTCTGGTTTGAAAATCCCAGTATTTAGCATCGCAATAGGTCGTAAGCCTATTTATTACTGTGTGTATGCACAGTCAACACCCATAATTATTCGGGTCAAATGCAGGCGAGACTCTAATTTATGGACGAGCCAATCAGAAGCGGTTTGGATATTTCAAGGTTATGGAGCCAACTTCAGTGCTCAATGCTAACGTACGACCGGTTCACAGGGAATTTTGTACAAAACGTGATAATTGAACGGCTATAACAAATAAAACGGTGAGACTATAATTTGTGGACGAATCAAGATAAGAGATCGCGTATTTTAACGCGAAAGCCTTTCATCCATTTGGCTAAATAAATTTCTGGCATTATAGCTGATGTCAGTTCGTGATGAAAACCCCATATATAATTCCTAAGGAAAATTACGACAATTATCGTGAACTGGATAATAAAAGGACCAGTAACACTGGCTGCAGCCAGGTACTAAAATATATACGGATGGTTGGAGAGCGTACAGACTCCTACATAGACTTGGTTATGTGCATCGTGTCGTTATCTACAAGTAGCATTTTGTGCACTCAACAACCGCAGCGCACATAAACAATAATGAAGCTACGTTGTCGAGGCTGACAGAGTCTTTGAGACTTTATCATGGCTCCAGATGCCGACTATTCTGTAGCCGTATGGATGATTTCCTCTACTGCATGAATTGAGATTTTAGAACCTCTGAACCTCTTTTTAACCTTGACAAGTTTTTGAACCACGTATAAGAAGTGTATCCGCTTTTTTTCCATGGTTTTGTATAATATATTTTTACTCTATACTGTTTGCTGATTGGCGAATATTTCTCAAGGTCACTTAAAATTCGTTCAAAGGTCGTCCGTAAGTTAGAGTCTCGCCTTACTGTCCACAAGCGCATTCCATGAATCTAAAACATTTTATGATTTTCTTGTCAGTCAGTTTTCCCATGATTATAAAGAAGGTAAATAGAGAAATTTAAAAATGTAAAGTAACTTCCAAAACCATAAACATTAAAACTACGACAAGGACAACTAAATGAGTCTTACAGAGTGAAACATGATGAAAGGAACTAAATATTCATGGAACCATCTAGTGTCTATTAGATACAACAGAAACATTCTTCAAACGAGAAATTTATCCGTAAATTGTTTGTAAGCCAATGCAATGGAATTTTAGAAATCCATTTCCAAAAACAGGCTATTTTACCTATTACAGTTGCGTAGTACTCATTACTCGACAAAACATCACATAATGATGATTATTACAACCAGTCTCGGATAGTTCCAACATTTAACATATATCAGTAAATATTTATTGATAACATTTATTCCTCAAAATGAGATGTACAATATAGACACAAACTATACATATTTTTGGGGGCAGGAATTACGCACTAATTTTAGGAATTTACATTTTATAATGTTCGATTTGTCAAGCAAAATGAGTCAAATCCATGCTTGAAATATAAGTTGTTTTTTTCTGAATCATTAGGTCTAAAGTTTGGAAGTGTTCCGACAAAATCGTTGCGAAGGTCCTCTAACTTACACCTCGTTGATATTGATCATATGGTAAGTAGAACTGGGGATTCAGTGATTTGTCACATACCATTCCATTTTCCTGATGAGGATCGACCTAACCTGCTGCACACAATCAAAGCTGCAGGTTAAGAACCGCTCTTTGTATTCAAAAGTTTGTAAGCCCAGTTTTTTTATATAGACAGATAGCCAACAATAAACAACCCTACCAATCCTTTGAACCCTTTGTTTGAAGGTTTTTCTACACCCCTCTTCTTCACCATTTGTATATTCATACCGACTATTTACTCATTCCTTATTACATAGTTCATGATCAATTAGATAAGTTTACTTTTTTAAACCTTGACCCGATTCCTATGTCAGTATATTAGTTCATGTTATCATGCTGTTTATCATTTACATATTTATTACTACACCTGTCACCTTATTATCAGTTCATACTCTTTTCTTATTCAATACTTTTCAAATTTGTCATTAGTTGCCTTGATAAGGTTAATATTCTGCACATGCACACGTAAAATAAACTCTGAGGCAGATCTAATTAAAAGCAATATGGGTAGCTTATTTATTATTCAAATTTACACTATGGGAATTTTTAATATCCCGAAGTTAGTAAAAAATATTTTTTAATCTGGTCCCAAAACTGCACCGTTTAAGAAGATTGGAGATTCTGACGGATTTGGTATGATTGGTGGTTACCATTTCTCCAGAAATTCATAAATACGTTGTGGCAGTTATTTATTAATGTTTAACATATATTAATTATTTTGTAACCGCTGAAGATACAAATGAGTCCCAAAATAACTGCGTCTCATTAGAAAGCTCCTATACATGTATCTAATAGCCCAGGTAACTGGTATTGATTTTGTACATAAATGAGGTTTCTGTGACCGCTTATAGTTACTTTCAAGCACCCTCATTGTCAGTTGTTTTACATATGGCTCTTGATGTACGCTATCAGATGACGTTCATTAAAAAATTCACTGGTATTAAATACTTTTATAAAAGGTTGATTTCCATTTTATTGAAGGCCAGATATGATTGGCTCCCCTTTAGTAATGAGTGACAGTTCTATGCAATAATAATGTCATTAACTTAACTAACATGAGGTATAGCTAACATTTATTTTATTTCATGATTTACTCAAGTGCATCTTGGACTTCAAACAAGCCTTCAAAATGTTTTTCATCAAGTGGTTGAGACGATAAAAACCAATTATTATTTGGGTATTTTTAGGAATTAGGAACTCCAAGTACAAACTGAGACAAATTAAAAAATTTTGTAGGCAAAATAGTAAGGTTTTGTGGTTATCAGTAATTAATTAGGAAGGTTTTTATTTATCTGTAACAGTGCTCCAGATAATCTAATATGTCTAAAGTAGCGTTTTCTAATTCGTATGTTTTGTAAAATGTATCTAGTAGATTGTACAATAACATATTTATAACATGAACGCCCGCTTTACATTACTTAGCAAACATTACTTGATGCATAAAATTCATAATATTGTATGGACACACTCAATGACTCTATATCTCTTTCAAAAATAATGGAAAACAGAACTAATCAATTAATCAAACAATAGAAAATAATTTGAAGTAAATCTTGAGAACAGGAATCAAAGAAAATGCCTAACGAAAACATGCTAAATTGAATCGAACTATTACAAACCGAATAAGCATGTGCAAATAAGTAACCAGTAGAATGATTTTTCAGTCACTTTGCTAACCAATACTACAGGATATTACCTATCTAATATTTTTGGATATTGAGTTTTCAGTAGAATTTTTCACTCTTCTATTCCAACGACAGTAGTGTTTCTACTGTATTACTTGATCTATGATCAATTCATCATTGTGCAACCAAATCTTTTACGATGATTCTTAAAAAATTAAGTCAGAGTTACGTATATAGTATAAGCTGTAAAATGATTAACGTTGAATAGTTTTAACATTTGTCATTGGCCGATTATATCAAATAAACATAATGTACACAGTTTAATAGGATTTTGAGTGGACTTTAGAAATATGAAGGGGTATTAGCTTGGTAGTTCGACTCGAGAGATTTTGTCATCTGAATAGTATCAATAGATCGCATTAGAAAGTAGGGCTTCAAATAGGTTGCATAAACTTGTATTCATTAACTGAGTTACGTTGTTGATAGGGATGAGGAAAGAAATAAACTCTAATTTGATCCAAGTTGCGTCGCCTATGAATATCTCGTCATTAGTTATAAGCTTTACACGTTTGTTATTTGACATTTGTACTAAATATTGATGTTGTCTTGATCATACCTAATTCTTAGATTTCTAACTTGACATTATTTAGTAGACTACGTCAAATTGTGTTTCTGAAATTCGTAGGAAATTTGTCAAATAACGTTGCTCTTGTGGCACAATAAAGTGTTGTTATTGTCAAAAAGATGTCATGGCTGCACTTTAAAGTTGGCGAGAAGAATCATGAAGCTAGATTCAATTTTGTTTAAGTGTTGTCCACTCCGAAGCTTCAAGAGTTTTGTGCCTAGCTGATTAAAAAACGCCACATTATATTGACTTTAGTCTATGAAGGAAAATCACAAAACATTCGTTGGTATACTCTTAAAATATGTAGATGTTTTGTAAATGGAGAAATTCCCACGGTAAAGAAAGTCTTCTAACTATCAGACACTGCTGTAAGATGTGAAATGAGTGTGCGTCATGAATAATGCAGCGTCGAAAATGTTTTGAAGTAATTTACACAAGTGTCAACAATAAAAAGAAGTGTTCAAAGTAATCTTAAAACAGCAAAAAGTCACCAATCGAACCTCAGTCATGAAAAGTAACAATACAAACATGCTAATACTTTACAAGAACATAAAATGTTACTATATGATAAATTATATCTCATGATAACATCTGGTCAAATAATTATACCTGAAGAGTATGCCTCATAAACTTCATTGTCCATTAGTCCATCGTCAAATTCACTTTCACAAGCCTGTGAGTTTGGTTTAAGTGACATAAAGCTGCCAGATTTGCTAAGCGTCCCCAAATTACATGCCAGGTCTCTGTTATTTGAAGAGCTATTTCTCGACTTCTTCCCTATACATGTCTTACAAATGGCCAACCAAGTGGTGATCTCGTTCTCATCTTCTGTAGCAATGAGAAGTTTTTTATTTCCGAAAACACTCGAAGGCACAAGTTTAAGTGCAAACGAGGCACTCGAGTTAACGGCCTCTGTTCTCATTGAACATGATTTATATTCACTGAGATTACATAGTGCAGTGAATGGTCTCGTAGCAAAATTTTCTGGCCGATACGGACTTTTTTCAGGGAGTTTATCAACGTTGTTCTCTGTGCAGTTGTTATGTTCACTCAATAAAATCGAAGAAGGTAGTGATTTAATGCACAAAAATGTGTCGGTATCATCAGTTAAAAGTCTTACATCACACAGAATCCATTCATCCTATCAAATAAATCAATTATGATTTTAAATGAAACTATCTTACTTTAGCAGCCCGTATATAATTAGACTTTACAAAAAACCTCCCAGAGAGATTCATAACAATTCTGTATTAGTATCTAGGTCATAGATGTGAATAAAAATCATGTGATCGATTTAAACGAAATAACCGATATTTCAAACTTTGATCTGAAAACCTAACATTCTGTAACTTTTTAACTTTAATGCGCATAACTATTGACATTTTAGTATATGAGACTGTAAAATGCGGTCTCATGGCATGTCGTTAGTACTAAATAATTGAAATTAAATTTTGAAAGAATTCGTCATTTGTATTTCGAAAGCGCAAACGAAGAAATTGGGAGAATACTTATTGATATATAAGGGTATATATACATTTTTACGGCCAAAGAGTATTATGAGCACGGAGTGCTGATTTTCTCTGAATGATTGTACACAATTGTTAAGAACTTCGATTTTCAGTTTCAGTTTCAGTTTGGGAAGGACAGGAGGCTTGATGGCCTGTGTTAGTCCTGGCAATGGTGGTCTCTCAGTTGATCCAACTTTCTCTTGAAAGATTCGACAGATGGACCCTCAACCACGTGCTGAGGTAGTGAATTCCACTCGTTGATGATTCGATGAGAAAGTTGATAGTCAGCTTACAAGTAATTTGTTCTGGGCTTATGAACTTTTTTGGAGTGTCCTCGTAAATCCTCTGTTTTGGAAGACAAGAAAATTGAGGGCATATCAGATGCGAATTTGGCACTAAGCAATTTGAAAACTGTAATCAAGTCGCCTCTAGTTCTGCGATATGACAACGGGAAAATGTTCAGCTTGGCCAGTCGAGCTTCATACGGAAGCTTCACTATTCCGGGAGTCAGCTTAGTTGCCGTTCTCTGAACCTTTCCCAGAAGCTCATTGTCTTTTTTTGAGCAGGGGCTAGCCTCTTGTATGCAGTACTGAAGTTTAGGACGTACGAACACTGTAAACAAAGTCAAAAACGTCTTAGCGTCGAAATGGCTAAAAGCCCTACGTAGTGACTATAAAGTTCTAAAAATTTTGGCGGCTATTGCACGGCAGTGTGCAGTAGTCTTTAGGTCTTGGCTAACGATGACTCCTAAGTCATTATATGTGTGGACGACAGGTAGCTCAGTGTTATTCATCGTTTATGTATCTGTACCATGATGACCAATATGCATCACAACACACTTGGAAGTATTTATCGACAACTGCCAGGTTTGAGACCATTCAGATAATTTATTCAGGTCATTTTGGAGTTCAAAGCTATCACGCTTACATCGTATCGTTCTCCATATCTTTACATCGTCAGCATATAGCAAGGCCGATGATGATAGGAAACGAGGAAGGTCATTTACATACAAGAGGAGTAGCACTGGCCCCAAAACTGTACCCTGATGCACTCCACTAAGCACAGTTCCCCAGCCAGATAATTTTGAGTTCACCCGTGCTCTTTCTTGACGCCCAACTAAGAAATCTTTTATCCACATCAATAGATTGCCTCCAATCCCGACATTTCTTAACTTATATAACAGCCGATTGTTATCCGGTTTTTATCGAGATACTCAAAGAGCTCCTTCAGAATAATGTTTTCTAAGATTTTAACAACCACACTTGTTCGGCTAACAAGGCGGTAATTCTCAGGTTTGTGTTTCGTACCTGTTTTGAAGACAGGACTTACTATGGCGTTTTTCCAGTCTTTTGGTAAACGACCCTGCGTTACGGATAGGTTAAAGCATGTACTTAAAGGGCTTGCAAAGAAGATAGATAATTCCTTCAGTAGCCTAGGATGTAATTCATCGGGCCTCGTGGATTTACCTATGTCAAGCTTAGTTAGTGGACCAAAGACATCGAGTTCTTTAATGGTCACGCTATCCAGTGTATGTGTGGAGGGATCTATGGTATATACATTGCTAAAGTAGTTCGAGAACACTTGAGCCTTACCAAAGTCGTCCCTCACTAATGATGCGGCAGTACTGTTTCCCCATAGAGCAGGAATAGTTCCTCTTCTCTTTGTCCTTTGGTTTATATAGGAATGCAAGCGTTTAGGGCATTCTATGGATTCCTCAACAACTTTTTCTCCGTGCAACTTTCTAGACTTGCGGAGAGTCGAGGCACAGGTATTCCGAGCTTTTCGGTACTGAGGTTTTGTCTCATCGGTCTTCAGTAACCTAAATCTATCCCACATTTTTCTTCTTCTACGGAGAAGGATGCGGACCTCCCTACCGAACCATAGTGGAGAGTTTCTCGGCCACCTTGGTATGGTCCTAGAGATGTGGGGAGGGGTAACTTTTAAGTATAAATTTCGAAATGCGTCCCAGGCCGTTTCAACTGAGGACTCTGGGTTTATTGTCCAGTCTACTGACGATGCTGAGTGCATGATATCTGTTATGCTTGCTTTCCAGACGTTAGGTCTGGACTGGACTGACGCGTGCTCGTGACTGACAGTTATATGGAAGTCGAAAGTTAAAACTGCGTGATCACTTTTATCTAGGGGTGGCATATAGTGGAGGTTCGCAACGTCATCCACATGGTGAGTGAATATAAAATCTAGTAAGGATGATTCAGAGTCCGGGTCGCACCTAGTCGCTTCTTCCACATATTGCACTAGTGCACATGTGATAACCGCATCACCTAGTTCCTGCTCTAATAAATTATCTGACAATTCAGTTCGCAGATTTTCCCAGTCTACTATTGGTGCATTAAAGTGCCCTAGGATTAGACATCGACCACTATGTGACCAAGTATTGAGACTGTTTAACAGGATCTTATTTACCTCACGGCTTGGACTGCAATAGACCAAACCAATCAGCAGCTCTTGTCCCTTGCATTTCAAGCGGCAACTAACTAATCCACACGTCCCACTCTCAAGCGATACACTGTCGATAATGGCAAATTGGAAGGCATTCCTGATGAACAGAACTACTCCCCCTCCTTTACGCTTTTGTATTCTGTCGTCCCTTACTAACATGAAACCCCTGAAATCAAGTTCCATACTATCTATAGCCTGTCAGCCAGGTTTCTGTAACTGCGATTATGTCTGGCTTTGTAGAGTCAATCTGTACACCCAGTTCCGATCGCTTATTAAGTTAGCGTCGGGCATTAGTGTAGCAGATCGGAAGCCTATTTGAGTGGCTTCGTGCTTCACCCAGAGTGGCTTCGGCATCATTCTCTATCGAAGCCTTACAACCCGAAAATTTACAACTTGCAGGTCCTTTTCGCCAGCGTCTTACCTAAGTTGTTGTTCTTTTTCGGCTTCCCGTCTTTTTACACAGTCTGCCAGCGATAAGCACTTACTGACAAAAACTTTTAAACCGTTTAGTTTATGTCCATTCTGTAAAATTAGGTCGCGTTCATTCGGAGATTTGAATACTACTTTAAGCAGACTGGATTGGTTTGGTTTCAAGTTCGCTAGACTCCCTAGTCTGTACACCTTTAGCAAGATGACCCGGGTGATATTTTGAGGCATGAGTTGATTAGGCAGCTGTTTATTCAGCACATTGACATGCTTAAAACGAGCTTTTGGTTCAGAGCTCTCACTCTCCTTGATTCTATGAAAAATAACTGGTCTGTCACTGTGATCAGCTTTCGATTTTCCGACTACATTTACGAGGGAAGGATTCCTTTTTATATCGCTACGTTGTTTCTTTCTTACAACCTGTACCCATTCGTCAACGGTGCTAGGAGAAGCAACAACAGTTGCGTCAAACCTGCTGTTGGATTACGGAGGGTTGTCGACGACTTGGGAGGTCAAGTTATGCTTCCCGCTAGAAACCGGTTGAGCCTTGCGATTGCGACTTCTAGGCGTTTCCTGCTGGAACCCACCTGAGAGACGAGGAACAGAAGAACCTACTTTACTTGAAAATTTGTTCAAGGCAGATCCCTCTGGAGACTGTTTTTCCTTCTTTGATCGGTGTGAGTCACCTATTTTCGAACTCACCTGAGTTTACTTCTTATTAAGTTGCGTGTCGACAGAGCGAGTGCTGTTTGCTAAAACACTGTTTCGCAACGTCTAGCAGTGAGATACCCTCAGTTAACAAGCTCTTTGCATTTGAAAAGCACTGTTGACAAAGCCGAACGCTACCCTTTTTACTGAACCTTTAGAAGGCCGCAGGCGTTAAATTCGTGCAAACTTCGTGGTACCAACCTTCGCACTCATCGCACTACATGCCGCTTTCAACGGTATAACGACAACCCGGACGTTGACAACTGAGTTTTTGCACTGTCCAGTCATTAAAAAAGGTTCTTTTCGGTAAAAAGAGCGAGATGCAATAATGCTCAGCTACAAAAACTGATCTATGACCAAAAAGGTGGAGAACTGTGGATTGTTAGGGCCAAAAGTACTAACAGATACAGTAGAAAATAAGGTTGTTAAATCTATTGAAGCGCCCAAGTCACCCGATTGAGATACGCGCAAAACCGGGGTTTCCAAAACAACGATTCGTCTACAATAGCGGTTCTTTATTAAATAATACACAAAATTTAGTTACAAACCTCAACTTGTGAGGTGTCTAGGCGTTTAAACGCGTTCTTCAAGAATGAAAATAACAAAAGCTTCCTGTAAGAGTAACATAAAGAATAATTATAACATACTACAGTAGAAAGACAGCCGATAGCTGTGTCTAAATTTGATAACAGTTTATGAGCAACCGAAGCTCAAACCAAGAGCAAAACAATGTGGAAACTGTTGCGTTTAAACAAATACACAAGACTGTGGATAATGGCTACAACGATTAAGATACTGTAATTATAATGATAAATATAATGATAAGTACAGTAAACGTTATAAGTATATGTGAAAATTTCAGAATATTAATACAACTTGCGTTACAACATAAGTGTGAAAATTGTTGGGAATACAACCGCTTACTGAATGTATATAAGTAGTATATGACAATATACAAAAGAGTAGAAAGACAAAGAGTAGGAACAATGTAAGACAAACTTAACAAAGGTACTCAAGAGTACCGACGATAAACTAATTGACAAACAGTAAACGATACTCTAGTCGAATACTTTAACTGAAATAAATTCAATTAAAGTGAGAACAGTAGTATTGATACGTAATAAACGATCAAAACAATAAAAGTTACTCAGCGAGAAAAATACCACTGTCCTTTTCAATT